CTTCTCTCTCTCTCTCTCCTTCTCTCTCTCCTCTCTCTCTCCTCTCTCTCTCTCTCTCTCTCTCTCTCTCTCTCCTTCTTTTTTTGTGTCCACTTACTTTTCTACTCTAGTTTATTTTTAAAAGTTTTTAGTGCGTATCTATTTATTGCTTATTGTGATCATGATTCATGTTTTTAATACGCGTTCTGAGTAACACACGTACACACACACACACACACACACACACACACACACACACACACATAGACACAGGTTTTTTATATTAGAATTTATTTAATTTTTGTATAATAATAATATTTTTTCGTAAGCTATTTATCTTTGATGTTTGATGATTGTTGTTTTTTCAGTTAATGTCAATCAAAAATTTCACTGCTTGACCAAGTTTAATAATGTTACGTTATTATTCGATCATTCATTCATTTATTCATCTATTCGTTCATTCATTCATCTATTCGTTCAGTCATTCATTCATTTATTTTTTGTTCAATCGATCATGTGGGTAAAGTATATAATATGCTTGCTGGGCTACTCTCTTAATCAAAACTAAAGATGCAATAATTTTTTTGCTTACCTAACTAACTGGCAATGATTAAGTGAATGAATTAATTAATGAATGAATGAAATAAGCATTGAGTGATTAAATAAATGAATGATGGATTGATTGACGATCAATTTGTGGATTGAATTAACAATCATGAGAACAATTATTGAAAAAATGAATAAATAGTTCATTCGTGTTTTAACGTTCATTAATTTTTATTATTCATTTGTGTATATAATTATTTCTTTACTTGTCGTTAATTAATTAGTTAATTAATTAACTGGTTTAATTTTTATTTGCATCTTTCTATACATTGCCGTGTCTCATGTATATTATCGTGTTGCTGACTGTCACATAAGCATATAAAATAACTGAACCATACGCACATAAAATAAACATTATAAATATATATATTTATATATATATATATTTATATATATATATTGTTATATGATGCATATATATATGTATATATCTATAGAGAGAGTGTGTGAAAATTCAATAGAGAGAGAGAGAGGAGGGAGAGAGATCTTGTGTTAAATGAGAGTATGTATTGTAAAATATGAGATTAATTAATGTCAGTGAATGAGCATTGAAAAAATATACACTGTATGTATATGTGTGTGTATATGTATATAGTTTTGTTTTTAATTTAGTGGCGAAACTTTATTTATATTTCGTGTTGTAGTTATACTACTGAATTCTATTTTTTTCTGCTATAGTTTTTTTTCTGTGAATCGTTATACGTGTGCAAATTTAATGGTAATATTATTATCATCATATGTGTTAATAACCTAGCTGTTTCAGAAATAAAAATTACTTTGTAATGTGGAGTTATCCATTTCTCCCAGTAAATGCATGTAAATACGAACTAATAGATGGGGATGTAAATAGAATGCATGCACGTATCTATAATGTAAATTCCTGTTCTTTTTTGTCTTATTTAAACTTAGTTTATTCCTTCTTTCATCTTTATTTTTTGGTAAAATGCAGCTTTCAAAACGCGGCAAATATATTTGTAGTGTCTCTATATATATATATATATTCATATATATATATATATATATATATATATATATATATTCATATATATATATATATATATATATATATATATATATATATATATATACAAATAACTTCATCAGTAGTATCAGCGGAATTTTCAGATAGACAATTTGTACAGATTATTTCTTATGTGTACAGAATTCATCTGCGTGTACGAACAAACGTGTACATTATCTTAATTGTACCATGTACAGTGCACGCGTCGTACATCGTATGTACTCTACAAACATCCAATGTTTTGTTCGTTTTTTAACTTTTTTTATTTTTTGAAGCCTAGTGATGTCATTGTGTTGGTGTCTGTAGATAGATGGTACATTTTTTATATGTTTATATATATGCGTGTGTTTTTTGGTATGCATGTTTGCACACCAAAAAACTGTTTAAGCGTACTCATATGTACATGCGTGCACTCATACAAGCATGCCTACGCGTGCACACATACGCATACGAACATTCATACATACATACATACATAGATGCACAGCACACATAGACATAGTAGTATTCACACATACATACAGACGTACATACATACATAGAAACACCAGCCAAGCAAACTGTTTAATCTTTATTTTTGCTTCAGTTTTTCTTTGTGAATAATCCTTATCGTATGTTAGGCCCTCTTCATATTTGTATAAACTTTTCCAGACAATTTTAATAATAATATTAATGATATAAAATAATCTTAAATATCTACTGATAATATTATCAGTAGTAGTTGTAGTATTCTTATCGCTACGTTAAGAATAAATCATTCTTTGATATTAAGATGTTTCGTAATTATTTGTCTTTTTGTGTTTGGAAATTAACGCATATATATATATATATATATATATATATATATATATATATATATATATATGTTTGTGTAAACGCGGCTTTATCTAAACATTGTTTATCTAATATTATTTATTTATTTATTCATTTAATTATTTATTTATTCATAGCACATATATTTTGGTTTTTAAGATATTTATTATATATTGGCGAAAAACTGTATTAAAGTTAATTAAGTTTGATATATTTTTTTATTGCCTATGTTGATGCTTATAATAATTGTGTTAATATTATTATATATATATATATATATTATTATTATTCGGTTTATATTGATATCGTCTCTTGTATAAATTTATTTATTTATCTATTTCATTTGTCATCATCATCATCATTGTTTGTGTTGTTATTGTTGTCGTTATCGTTGTCGGTTGTTGTTACCTGTTGTTATTGCTGTGTTTGTTATTTAAATGAATTC